AGGCTAATTGCCTGAGTGCAGGGTTAGTTTGTATTTCATGCAAATCTCATGTGCATAGTAGTGAGACTTGGCTGACAAACAATAGCCATTCTGAAGCAAAAAGGTGATTGAAAATAGCTCTTTGACACGGTCTGTTTACTTCATATTCACTAATTATTGCTCACAAGCACTGATGACCTCATTCTTAAATATACTATTTCGTGAGATAAGGCCCCAAGACGGCCATTCAATAAGTTTCTACAACCTTCAATTTTATGCTCCCAATTATTTTGTAACTGTTGATTTCTTTGCCCATCCCTTTGGTGGATGATGTGTTTGGGAATAAAAGCTAAATTAATTTTATGTATCAAAGAATTATTACATGTTAACACCACTTAATGTCATTATTCTGTCTTTTGTTCTTTTGTCTCTCAGGTTAAGAAAGGTTTTGAATGGAACTTTAAGACCTGAAATATTCCCCAAACAAGTAACACATTTGTAGTGATAAGATGTTTTTAATTCTTTTGGGTCGAGTCTAAGTCGGGTTTTAATTCTTAGTGAAACAAATTGCAAGTTGATTGCAAATCTCTGAATATTTACTATTCAAATGATTCATGCATTTGAGCATTTTGCTTTCAAAGCTGTATTAAGTGTGCTTTTTCATTCTCAAAGTTTAGACATAGTCCTCTCAATGAATAGTCCAAATAATTACTTATTCAAGCTGTGTGGCAATGCAAGGTCTGTCTGGCCCTGCCATGTCTTTCTTATTGTTCAGAGGTTTTACCAGGTCAAAGACTTGAATTGAACAAAAAACATATCTCACCTCAAGGTCGGTTTAGTTGCTCCTGTAAATATTCTAAAGTCAATTTTCTGTGAGCACTTTGAGGACTTCTCATCCATGAGTTTTAAAGTAAAGTTTTTAATCATGGAACCAGCAATTGACGAAAAAAATCTCACCTCATGGTCCATTTAATAGCTGTTCTGGAGATTTTGATCATATCACATGATGAAGTATTAAGTAAGTCAAATACCAGAACGTAAAAATGCAAGTCATGTCTTAAGTCCATTTTTTTGTGATTTGATTTCCGAGTCCCAGTTTCAAGTCTACAGCTGGGTGAGATTCCACACAATCCAATATATAGAGAAAATAATCCTCAATACAAATTTAGAAATAGCTTCTTTTTTTACATTTTGGGATACAGAAGTTGGTCAAGGATGCCACGTTTTTTTTTGTTTTTTTAACAGGAATTAAAAAGCTCATCAAGACACACCACTAACCCAGAATATTAACAAAACAACATTTTCCCTGTTGAGAAGAATAGAGATGATGTGCTTTGTATTCACATCCGTCCATCCAGCTTATTGTGGTGTAAGTGGGTCAGGTCATGGTCAACATCACAATATGGTTATCATCTAGTAAGAGATTTCAAGCAAGTGTGTTTCCAAAATAGACCCTGCTGTTGTGGGACAGCTGGAGAGCCCTTTTGGGGTCAAGGTTCAAGGACCCATGTCACGTGGAACATGTTACTGTATCATGCAAGAGTTTTCCTGGCTGTTGTATGTAAGTCTGTTTTCGTTCACAGCATTAGAGCCCTCACAACACATGAAAGCTCTGCGAGTGCAACAGTACTGCTCTCCGGCCTCCTGAAGGGTACCTAGTTATGCTCCCCTAACCTTACCATCTGCATCACGCTGCCATTTGGAGCCAAGATAAATCACAGAAGGCCCTGTCCATGCTGGGAATAGCTTCTTCCAGATAAGAAGGTCAAGGGTCACATTTCTGGCCAAGGTTGACTGTCCTCTGGGCTAAATAAAGAGCCTAGGGGTTGCAGAGCGGCACAGGCCCTCACACTCAATTAGGATCAAAACAACCATCAAAGTTGAACTTGGATTTAGGTTGCTTGAAAAACAAAGATGTGGAGCAGGGAACCTTCTGGATCCAAACACCAGCAATGCATAGTAACACACACTTCATCTTGATTTATTTTGAGGGTAATAGCCATAACTGATTACTGGATTAATAGACAAACAATGAGCGTTCAGTGTATTAATCAGTAGCAACTGTTTTTAAGATTAGTCCGCCATTGTTACAGAGTTACTACGGTGTTTGTTTATTCTGCACTAACCTAACAGGACCTCTGGCCCAGCCTGTGGAATGTGAGAGCAGAGACACAGTGTGGGAGGTCACTGCCATCATTTACATCCTAAACACATGACAGGCTGTCAGGCAGAGGTTAACGCTGGTCAAGTTCACACAGGACAGCACAGATCCCAATACACTGTGAGGAGGGAGGCCTCTTTACACATGCAAAAGCAAATTGTTGCTTACATCCACACATACAGGCAGTGAATACAGTGATAGTATAATGTTTTGCTTTGTTAACCTGAGCCAGAGAGGTGGCGATTAAGCCAAATGGTAAGCAATTAGGCTGTAATTTGTGGTGGTTGCATTTAAGCCGTTTTTTTATATTTCTCCATACATCGTTCTACAGTCGTACATTCGTCTATGCACATACATGATACATGTGTCTTTCCTAGATGCTAGCTTAATATGTACAAGATGAAAAAAGAGGGAGAAAAACATGCTTGCATGTTCCCAATGTGTAGTAGACTCTCAGTCAACCCTGCCAAAATCATTCATATGAAAAGATCCACACTGAATAGATTTGCATAGAAAAAGACAGAAATTTGTCCTTGTCCAAATAAGCACATGGTACAGCCAAACATAAAAACACACTGATTTTCAGGTTGTCCTTGTCATCCTTTGATCCCTTGTGAAAAGGCTAGACAGTCATGCTGCAGTGATCAGTCAGGGTCAAAGTCATACTCCACTTTCCCTCCCTCCCTCCCTCCCTCCCTCCTGTGACTCTACTGTAGTTTTGTAGCTCTGGCAGCTGGTGGTGCTGTAAGACTTGAGTCTCCTCGTTGCTTTTTCTCCTACATAACAAGGCTGTCACCTATTCTATCCTCCTTTGTCCTCTCCCCTCCATCACTCACCTCCATACGTCAACGCTGAGCCACTGCAGCATCCTCCGCCTGCCCCTGAGCCAGTCTGCTTTGATGGGGTGAGGTGTGGGGGGGGGGGCAGTGCCCTAAACAAACTATGCCAGACAAGAGGAAAAGGCATCTTGAAGCAAACTAAATTAAACAAAAAGAGTTGTTTTTTTCACATTAGTTCAATGATCAAAAAGAAAAAAAATTTAGATTTGAAAAAGGATTGTGAGGCAAAAATCAATACTCGCATGTTGACACAGACATGCACATGCAAAATGAAAAGTGACATCAGTTAAGGTTTTTTTTTTAATTTAAAGCGCATTGTTCAATAGTATGGTGTCTGCCACTAGGTCATTTGTGTGAATGGTATTAATTGGGTTCCCTGCAAGGCCACACAGCCGGCGGCTCAGTTATGATTCCAGTAGGTAAATATTTGCTTGTACTAACCCTCACTAGGTGCCATAATGATTCTTTGTGTGTTTCACTGTGTACAATGCTTTTCTGTGTACACATCACTCAATGCCTATGTCTGCCTTGTGTGTGTGTGTGTGTGTCTGTGTTGCAGCTCAATCCCCCCCAACATTCCCTCTCCACAGCTGCAGCTCGGCAGAGTTTGATCAATAACGCGTCCTTCATTCTCAAGTCGGGCCTGACCTTGGCAGCCTTTTGTCTCCTTCCAGGGGCCAGAGTGCGCATGTACAGGTTGGAAAACAAGGCTCTCAAAAATCCACCCTTGGAAGGAAAAGAATTCCCCTCACTGCCTCCACACTACAGCATTCTCATTAAGAGCCTAATGAATCATATATTTATAGCGTTCTTATCTTAGCGTAATGAGGTGATGCCACTTTTGAACTCATTTGCTAAATTACCAGAGGCCACACTGAAATGGAATAAACTTCCAATTCTTTGCATATGCTTCTGCATTCATTTTCATGGGGGCAACTGTCAATGGAGGCGGCGGAGCCAATCTATACCCAACGTATGAACAAAGAGCATCTATGTGCACTCACGGATAACAAAATGTAAGTGTGTTCTGAGACATTTAAAAGCACTGAAACATGGAAGTCTGCTGCAGAGGACAGTGGGAGTCGATCTGACAGATCTGTTTACATGTTAATGCAGCCTGACGTAGCCTGCAGGTGGCACCATTTATAGATTGGTCCTGCAGACACACTCTTTTTGTGTCATTCAGTAATGGATATTTAAATGGCCAGTAAGGGAAGAATTTCCTTGCACAGTTACATATTGAATTGTTCCATAATACTGCATTAAGACAAGCAACAAGTTACTTTTGTATGCATGGGTACTCCATCATGCAGTCTAATGCTCTTATGGTTTACTTCACTGGATACCAGCAAAGTTGCAGATGCAGGTACATTACTGTATTAAAACAAACACTCCAGAAGTACAAAGATATCAAGTGGATTCATCAAATAAAGCTGCAGTAAAAAGTTGAGCTTTCAAGTAGGAAATATGTTTCTCTTTTATGTGAAACATTAGTTTTATTTTGAATTGTATAAACAGCTGTTCATCAAGTTACCTATAATATAAAGTAAATGCAGAATGATGAGTACATTTGTACACAGGCCATTCAGTAATGGGTTTCTGCAGGCAAGTCGTATCAAGATCAATTACAAAATTAGCACATTAGTGCTGACAAATTACAAAATTATGTTCTAATCCTTTTAAGCCTTGTGGTAAAACAGTGGTAGATTTGCTTGCTCCAGGGATAAACTTTGAGTGAATGATTTAGCCAAAAAATACCCATCTTTATTCCACTGCTTCAATCCCACAGGCAGTTGAGAAGCCTGATATATTCAAGAATTAAATCACAAGATATTAGAATATGAACTACAACTCCTCACAAGAATGCCAATCTTTTTTTTTAAAATTAGGCCCGTTGAAATAATACTGTTACTTCAAACGCTACATTTACATAACAATTGAGAATAGAAAAAAGGGTTCTGTCTTTTCCCCAGTGATGTTAAACACCAAAAATGTGTAAATAATGTTCACCAAATCAGATATAAATCAAAACTCAGGATTTATTAACATATTCCACTTTTACAAAAACAAACAAACATTCTTCAGGACTTCAGGCTTTACAGAACCAAAAACATAGGGCAGCTGTCCACTGACACATCAAAGACTGGAAAATAAAAATGAAACAACAGAATCATCTTCACTACACTTTCCTCTTCTGGGTGCTGATGTACAGGACTGTGGAGAGAGAGAAACACAAAGAAGGAACATTAAAAAGTTTGTAGTTTATAGAACAAGGACCTCAAACTGCTGGACCTGGGGCCATTTCCAGCATTTTTTTTCTTCTTTGTCTAGTTGTTTCCTATCAATTTAAACAACCTCTTTATAAACAATTAAAATAAAAACACATTCTGTTTTATAAATCTATTTCATTTGGTGCATAAATAATGGCCAAGGTCAAAGGTGCTTGCAAAGGATCGATAAGAGAGCAGGTTTCAGGACTTAATTTGTTGTTTGGTTGCAAAAAACAAAGACCATGTTATAAAATGTATAGAAACTGCTGATTGTATTTTTTAAGTATGATGTTAGTAATAGAAATGGTTTCAGAATATTGCCCTTTGTTGTAGTACTTGTAGTGTCCTTCCTATGAGATGACAATACCAGCAGTGGACCCAAACCCATTTCAGTTTGAGACCCCTGTTCTAGAAGATTAAATTTATTAATCCTCAATGGGGAAATTGTTGTTTTTTGACACACACACAAGCAACACAATGACATCTCTGACAAAAATATTGAATTTCTTGACGCATAACTTCTTGTTTTGTGATCACTTGATAATGCTTCCCAGAGATAAGAGGTACTATATGAGGCCATGTCATAAATTACTGAGAATGTCCAGATCTAAAATGTAAGTTATAAAACACTGAATAAACTGGGTGTCCTGTGACGTGATGTCAAAAGGAGAAAGTGGAAAAGAGCAGTAAAAACTCTGATTAGTCACTACAACTCACAATTCATAGTGTGTTGTCACAAATATATTTGGGTGAAAAGTCAGCTGCAATGGTGCATTCACACGGAAATTATTGTTGGCTTGTGAATAAAATTTGCAGATTCTCCGGCTCTCATGGTCAATGGTGTTTGCAGTCATTCCACCCTTTACTTCCCATTGTAAACCACAAGTAAATTCTCTGTGGGAAACACTGACTCAACCAGCTGTCACTGTGACAGTAACAGCCACATTTCTCATCCTAGAGATAAATGATAAGAATTTCTTTGCGCTGGTTATTCAGGGTAGAGGTGTAAGGCTGCAGACTGCATGGAAAAGCAGTCAGGTGAACCAGTTGTTACTTTTATGTAAATCTACTTTTATCAACCGGCTCTGTTTTGACTAAAATAGCCCCATCTCTTTGGCTGTTGGCCCTTTTATCACACTGAGAACTCACACTGGCCAGCATGACTCACATTCAAGAGGGAATCACACAGTGAATACAATACATGGTTGGTGTATGGAAAATCTAGACAAAAGGTATGAAGACGTAGGCTAAAGTTAAAAAAACAGATTCTTCAAGCAGTTGGTAAAAAAGTACTTATTATAAGACGCTTACTTCAATTATGTATTCATCAAAGATTGACAGCAGACAAAACAAAAAAAACAAAAAAAAGGGTGGAGAGATGCCAATGTCGGTTGCTTTGAGCTTCCCACATAATCAATATTCCTGTTTCATAAATTTAAAAGGGATAGTTCAGACTTCTTGAAAAAAACAAAAAAAACAACAACAAGTGAACAACAGAATACAATATTTCTGAGGGTTTATTTACCCGTCAGGTCTTTTTGTGTCATATGACTGTTTTGCTTGTTGGAAAATTCAACTGTTTTGTTAGCCGGCATCCTTTTAAGTATTTCCTTTCTATTTAACACCCTTCCTGGGATATCTTTGCCCACAAGACCATTCGACTGAGCTGCCAGTAAAATACCCACATGTAAGGAGCACTTCACTGATTTAAAAAAAAAAAAACTAAAATCTCTTAAGGATAAAGTTATTTCAATTTCACACTGGGACACCTGGAGAGAGCAGAGCAGTCTTTAATGCTGTTAGTAACAGCTGTGCTTTTTCTACCATGACAAATCAAAATGTCTGCTGTGTTTTGATGTGTCGGTCGTGAACGAGTCTGCTTTATGTACCGGCTCCTTTTAAGTGAACGATGGGAGCCGGTCCCTGTCCGCCTCCTGTGCCTCTTTCTTTCTTTTTTCCCCCCTTTAGAAATTAATACAAGACATGATAAGGGGACGGTCCTAGTATTTGTTTAACATCATCCAGAAATGTCTCTCTATGGTATTAATAAGAGAGTTCAATATAAATAAAACATTCAGTGCACGTGTGTAATAGATGTTTTTACATTATGTAAAGTTTTCATAACAATGTAAAATTGTGGTATTCTGTAAATTATAGGGTCTAGTATAATTAAACTGAATAATTGAAGTGATATATGTGCTCAAATATCAATCATTGGTCAAAACATTGGTACATTTGGCTAAATTATTCATTTTTAAAACGGCCAAAAGCAGTACTGATGAAGAGCGGTTTGGGACACAGCTCTTTTGCTGAACTGGGCCAAATGATCTGGCTCACTAAAAAGAGTTGAATTCCCATCATCACGACTGCTGTGCAAAAATGCCTATGAGAGAAACTTGATGTGTAAACCAGGACTAACTTAATGGGTATCTTAAACCCTCCTGGGCTGTATGTAAAAACTGAATAAAACTGCTCAAATAATAGGTGTTCTTAACTTGGTATAACCTTGTTTAAAAGACCAGGTAATATTCAGCCATTGCACTTTTCCAGTTTAAATATATATTTGTTGTCCTGTCTCTGCAAGTTTAGAATATTGCTTGTAACTTGGCTTCCTTTCTGTTTTCTGGTAGAGAACTAAACCATTCACACGTCTTGGACATACACATGGACGAAGTTGGACATCTGTGTCTGCAAACATTCCTCGGAGAGAGCATATACCAACACCTCCCTAAGTAAGTTATTTTGTTTTGAATGAGCCAACCACTCCAAAACTTATTCACAACACTACCACCACCTGAGTGCCTCATCTGGGATTATATCGGTGCCTCAACATCTGTAAAATGGGAGAATCTTACCATTGTTTCCTCTTAGAAAAGCGTCTCCGTACTTGTTCTTGAGCTGCCCATTGACATACTCTTCCGTCTGCTCTATGGCAATGTTCATGTATCCATCCAGGCAGGCCAGGACACCTGTAGACAGAACATATATGTGCAGTGTTTTGAATAAAGAAACCATTATTTGTCAAATGACACAAGGGGAAACAACAGGTTGACCTGTCATTACCTCTGTAATCGACACCAGAGTTCAGCTTGACGACCACAGGTCTCCCAATTATCTGCTTCAAAAAGTCACTCGGGGTTTGCTTTCTCAGACTCATCTTGCCTTTGATCTGAAAAGGAATAAAAGAGCACATGTTATGGTTGCAGCTCACCTCCACTAGCAACATTAGCATCACGCCGGCTACCGCATGCTCGACGGCGTTAAATCTAACAGCAGGGGTTTCTTTAAATACAGTATTACGTGCAGCAACACATAAGATAGTAGTGTTTCTGATTTGAGCAAACACCAACGTAGTAATAAGTAACGTTAGCGTAATGCTGTGTTGACAAGTAGCGTCGGCAGCTAGATAATCGGTGTAGCTAAGCGGCTAACTGTGAACTCTTTAATGGATATGTTTGCGCTTACTGATGCGAGAGGGTCGTTATCTTTAGAAATACTTTATATACGTTTATTAGACTTAAAGCCGACTGCGCTGCACATGGGGACGTTTTGCTTTTTTTAAAATTGTTATGAGCAGTTTGGTAGCATTTCACTCACCCGATGGACGTCGTCTGAGCTATTGTATTAGCCACGGGTTGACCAATCAGAGGTGTGCACTGTACGGCGTCTGAGTGAGGACAAAAGGATAAAGAGCGCGATATTTTTCACTGTGTTTAAGACATATTTAGTAGCATTGCACTTATGAAGATTTCCGTATAGTTTTTTGTGTACACTTTACAAGCAGATAAAAAAAAGTTTTTTATGTTTCTTCCTAAAATTAGATATGAGAAGATGACATTAGGCTTTATTATTTGATTCTTAACTATTCAAACATATTCAGAATCAGAATCAGAAATACTTTAATAATCCCAGGGGAAAATTATTTTATTTATTTATTTATTTTATTTATTATTAGTATAAGTAGTCTGATCTTGAGGTTGTACATGTGTCAGCACTATAATCCCAGCTCCAAATGGACTTATGTTTTGTCCGTCCGGTTAGTCTTGGTTTGGTATTTGATCATTTGGAATTGTGTATTTCATATTTTATATTTCTATTCATATAACTAATTATCTTGTGAGATCACGACCATGGCAATATATCTTTAGTTGCAGGCTGTTTAAAATCATTATTAGAAACATTATTAAAACAAATTCACTACCAGAAAAAGAAGGCCATTTAAAAATAAAGTAGGCAATATGCCATTTTAAAATAAAGTAGGCAATATGGACTGAATTACTACTGTGATTATTAGCTTCAATCTTGATAAAATTACATAGTAAAAAGTTAAAATGTTCAACCTAGTCCCATGGTGTTTTTTTTTTTTTGGTAAAATCCTATAAAAATACTCAAATCTAGAGCTCATGATGTGACACAGTTCTTAGAAATTGTACTCATCATTCTTTCATAAATATGAATATTAATAGAAACTATACATAGTTTCCTCCATGTGCAAACTTTCACAGGCTCAGTTGGCTGCTGCTGGACAGTTGGTCACCAGATGTACAGAACTGAAGAGAGGAGTGATCTGCCAGCAAGGAAGGAGTGCAACGTCTGGATCTTTGTGCAGACTGTAAGTACAGAGCTGCAACAACTAGCCACTTAGTAGTCGATCAATCTGTTAACAGCAAATTAACTATTAACTATTGATTGATAAATCATTCTAGTCATTTTTAAGACAAAATGTCCAAATACTTGCTGGTTTCAGGCTCTCAAATATGAAGATTTTTCTTTTTCTTCTTCTTCTTGGACAAATATAGTAAAGTGAATATTTTGAGGTTTTGGACTGTTGGTTGAATAAAACAAGAAATACATCACCTTGCGTTGTGGGAATTATGACAAAGAATTCATCACTATCTTTTGACATTTCAGACAAAACCATTAGACAAGAGAGAGAGAGAGAGAGAGAGAGAGAGAGAGAGAGAGAGAGGGAGAGAGAGTAAAACTATTGAATATTGCCTCACTATAATTTCCCCAACTAATAGGCCCATGCATCTTTAATTGACAGAGGTCTATTATTTCACATTTGCTTCAACATAAACCATTATAATATTGCTATCACAATGTTGTCTGTACTTACACTGCTTATATATATTATATTGTATATAGTATCATGTTTCAAATGCATCATAGCTTTACTATGGTTCATTTTTTGTGTGAGTGTAATTGAAATTAATCCTAGAGGTTTCTGATCTTTTCATTATTTTGTTCTGCTATGGCCAGGTTATGTTGTGAAGGATAAGAGAAAGTCTACTATCTGATAAAACTCTGGTTGCTGGGTGCATGACCCAAACACTGCACAGCTTGGGAGGTACATGAAAAATGGTGTAGGGGGGAAATAGGGATGAAATGGTGAGGTGAAAGATAGAAGAGGATAGAGGGAGGGAGGATGTGCCGGTACGTGTTAACAGAGAGGTTGAGAGAAAGAGAGAGAGAGGGAGAGAGAGGGATTGTGAGAGGTGGAATCATAAAGTACTTCTTGTGTGTCTAGACAGGTTGCTTGTTAGCAGGGCATGGCTAGCCCTGTGGAGGCTAGAGGTTAATTTGGTATCTGCTGCTGTGTTAAACTAAGGTCAGTACTACAAGTCCTTAAGTCATAAACAAGAGTAGTTAAGAGCCATGTATACACCTAGGCACCGGTTAATGAATATTCAATGAAGATTTTTTTTTCCCCTTGTCCCCTGTTCCCTTCGTTGTTGCTCGCTTTGAAGGAAAATTTTAGCAAGAAAAAAAAAACCTCACAGTTTATTTCTGTTGCCTTCAAAAATGACCTCTGTGCACTTACATTTACCTGTCCTTTGTTATCATAATACATGGCCTTAGTCGTAATAGAAAGTGGCTTTTTGCTATTTGAAATGTGGCACACTCATTATGCACCTCTGTCCCTGAATGCACCGAATGTAACTACCTATCATTTGATTGCTTAATACAATATGTAATAATAATGTGATAAATTCTTTTTCCAGGTCATAAAGTTTGTGGTTAAAATAAAACTTACGACCAAGGCCATGTACTCACTGGCATTTGATGCAGATGTTTTAATATGCAGCTTGGTGACTGGGCAGGCAATAAGAACTTGAACTGAGCAATCACAGACAAATCGTAGTGTGCAGGGGCTCTGAGATAAGTGTGTTTTGCTGGTAACCTGCGATAATAATTCAACTGAAATGGGGGTTAATTGTAAACATTGACACTGTGGTCTAAAATCATAGTCAACATCACATCCCACGGATTACATGTCAATGGTGGCCACATATTCTGCAGCCTATACATTATTTAGAATTAAATGGCGTAGGAGTACACTTCTAAAATGCCAAGCCTTTTTGTAGATTCCCTGTAATAGCCGTTAAATACATTAGTAGACTTTTTTTTGCTTCTAGGTCAATAAGATGGTCAACACTCAGTGTTTAATTATTTAGGGTTATCACCGGCAATTAAGCTGATTTACTTGTATACCAATTAATTTCCTTCTGACGACCAGTTCACAACCACGCAAACGTTTGTTACGGACTTACTTAGAGATCAGGATTTTTTATGTGGTTGATTTTCATGTTTTGTGTCCAATTCATGTATTTTTCTGTATTAGTTACAACAGTACATTTATTGTAACACAATTTGTCAATTTGTACTTTAATTGTTTTTACTTTCATTCATTATTTAATGCTGCAATACTACTTTTTTATTTTATTTTACAATGGATCAAATGGGGTCGCTTATAGTGACGAATGTCTGCAGTTACCCTCAGCTTTACGCAGCATTTCTGCATCTTTCAGCTCATGGTTTTGGGTTTACAGCCCACAACTTTACTGTTATGGTTTCATCTCACTGCTCTAAAAACCCACTGTACACTGCCTGCACCAAACACCACACTGACAACATTTGTGACAGCAATTTTAATGTTTAAAATATACAATGTTATTTAATGTTTCCCATAATATAATTTAGGTAGTAGAAGCAGCAGCAGTAGCTATGTTAATAGTAGTGGTAATATCAGTGTTAACGGTTTATTAGCAGCATCATTATAATAAGTACTTGTCCTACATATGACATTTTATTGCTCATGAATTATATAATTATTGGTAATACCAATTAGTTGTTTGCAGTCCCTTTTCTCCTGTCTGGCTCTTCTACTCTTCAGCTCTATGAGGCCAACCTTCATTGCAAAAACATCTCAAACATCAATGTCTGGAAAAACAGTGAGTGACTTTTCTTCAAAAATGTTTTGACCATCCAGTAAGAGTGGTCAGCCAGAAAGCACAACAGCAGTGGTGTCAATTGAGAGACAAATCCTGTCTCCATCTCTAGACCCCTTAACCCTAAGGGGCGGGCTAGTGAAATAGAAAGATTATGGTGACTGGAGATGCTATTGTAGGTGGGAAATAGGGGACTGGACCAAAGGAGGCAGGGACTCGAGGTGAGTGGAAATAAGGGGGGGGCGCATCCCTTGTATACTAAAGCAATATGCAGGATAGGGGTGGAGGTGGGGGTCGGCTGTGCAGGATGAGGAGAAAGTCTAGACTGCATTGACCCTTCTGAAGCCAGGTTTTCTCTTCAGGTCAACCTTGATATGGAGAAGATAATGGAAAAGCTTGGGGGAGTTTTCAAATAAAAACAGATTGGTAGACAGAGTATCCCTGTTCTTGCTTCTATGTAATCCCTAACTGTATGGAGGTAATAGCTTGGAAGTGATGGGAAACCTTTCTCCCATCAAAAAGGGGCCTGGAAACCTCAGCTGCATGGCTTAATGGTACGATCTGTTGCCTTTGTAGCACCGAGGGTTGTTTTAAATGGCTGACTTCTTCAAAGCTCTTGTCCTTCCATGCCTGCCCTCTGTTCATTTAACTGTACAGCAGCAAAAGGGCTCACCAAAGCAGGTGATCAAACCTTGCCATCCATCCACTATACATCCCCTGTAAGAGTTCTGAAGCCTTTCACCATAGCCTGTACCCGTACAATAAAGAATGAAAATTTATAAGCAGTGGTAAATTACCCATAAGGTGCAACGGGTGTCCCTGTGCTTTGGATTTTGCTCCTTATTATTTCCGTGCCAATGACACATCGCTCAACTTCCACTTAATGACTCAGCTGTGAGCACTGACAGTTGACAGCGGTTGGTTGCCTGGGGGCCTCATGCTGAGAGAAGAGGGTGGCGTGAGGCAGACGAGGTGGGATGTAATCACTCCCTGTAATTTGGAGGAAATCCACTGAGCTGCTCACAGTCAAGATGAAAGCCCTCCTCTTGTTCCGTCTTTCCACAGCTACCAAGCTCCACTGCTTGTAAAAGCCTAAAAAGAGAGATTCAGAGAACCAATTCTGCCTGGTTGGTGTCCCCCAGGGGTTAGTCCTGGGACCATCTCAAATCAGCTACAGCCCTGGAGCCATGTTCTTTCCCCAAGGAGTGGTACAGCAGACAGACAGTCAGACTGCCCATCCTGTGCTATATGGCCCAGGCGCAGCCAGCCAGCACACAACTCTCCTGAGATCCTCCTTAGTGGAAAGGGAGCTCAGTGGAGCTTATGTTGAGGGCTCTGCTTGTATCTGGCTGTCTGTCTGTCTTTCTGTCTGACACCCTCCCATGTCACCTTATCCTCTCTCACTTCCCTTCGATATCTCAATCTGAGGCAAGGAGGGAATGCAT